AATGGAGGTCATTTAGTTACTCCAATTTTTTATATACACCCCTATATACTTATTAACCCTTAATAGGGAACACATTAGGGGTTAATAAGTATATAGGGGTGTATAATAAAATACCCCACTCTGTCTCATTAGATATTTCTTTGCCAGAAGCTCAAGGAAGCAAGGTGAAAGGTCAGTGTAGGACCCGCCTAGGGGGGTCTGCCTTGACGTTGGCAGGCGGGCATTCCCTCCAGTGACCATTGGAGTAACTAAATGACCTCCATTTGTTTAAATGTACATAGGAATTTAAGAGAGAGCCCAGGTAACTTTTTTCTTTTGTTTTTACTGTATTTATTGCGGCTGATGTGTACTGTGGTCGTTGCTGCAGCCCTGGAGTGATGGGAGTGAGCGCAGGACTTATCTTTTTGTATTTGTATCCTATTTTTTTTTAACTGAGGCGTGTATGTTGCTGTATTTTGCTTGTGTTATGGGTTCTGCAGTTGCTTTGCAATATTGTATTTGTGCATAAGTGAGTTGTTATATTGTATATGTTCATGAGTATGAGTAGTTTGTTGTATTGTGTATGATATCCATGAATGTGTGCTTTGTATTGGGGTTGCTTGTGGAATTGGGTATATGTGGATTGTCTGTGATGTTGTTTGTGGGAACTGTGTGTGTATTTGTAGGTGGGCTGTTTGTATTATTTGGATGAGGGAGAGGCTTTTTCTACAGCTCTGTGTATGTCTAGGATTGTGTGGGTGGCTTCCCTGGGGTCCAGTGGGGACTGGGATAGCCAGGTACAGGTCAAGGGCAGTTACTGCGATAGCTACTGTGTGTTGCTATACTCTAGTGCAGGGGTCAGCAACCTATGGCACGTGTGCCATGCAGGGGCGTATTAGCCGCAAGGCAAACAAGGCATTTGCCTTGGGCGGCATTTTTCAGGGGGCGGCAAAAAACGCTGCCCCAAATGCCCAGGGCAAATGCCTAGTTAGCCTTGCGGCTAACTGACCTGCTTGGCGGTTGGGGGGCGCTGGTGAGGGAGCTCTTCCCCTGAGCGGTCTGCTCAGCTCCCTCGCGCGCCGCAGAGTGAGGCTGGGAGCCGGGTTGATGATGTCATATTCCGGCTCCCAGCCTCACTCTGAGGTACGCGAGGGAGCTGAGCAGACCGCTCAGTGTATGCGTATCTGTCAGTGAATGTGTGTGTGTATTTAGAAGGCGGGGCGGGGGGGAAGGGTTGGGTGGGGGTGGCACGGAGGGAGGGGGCGTCTGAGTTTTGTCCTGCCTTGGGCAGCACAAAATCAGGATACACCACTGGTGCCATGCATGACACTTGAGGTGCCTTTGCACAGCACTCAAGGCTGCCAGAGACAAACAGGCTCTGGCCTGTTAGGAGTCCCAGTGAAACTTCAAATATTTGTAGTGCAAACACAAGTGGTGATTGCAGGTGGTGAGGGTCAATCCTCTATTTATGCATTGCAGCACTTAGAGGAAGTGATCTAGGATCACTTCCTCTCCGCACTTGTGAACTGAAATCCGCACTTGAGTTAGGGTTGCCAACTTTTTTGGAAAAAAATACTGGGCATGCTAATTTGCATAATTAATTATGTATGCATAATATCACTGGACACAACGTCACAGGATGTTGCGTAACATTTGAAAGAGGAAAGTTACATAGCGTCTCCAGGATTCATGCTTAGTGGGGGCACATAAGGGGCCAGGGACAAAAGTAGGGGGCAGTTATAAAATGTATATATAGATATATGTGTGTGTGTGTGTGTGTATATATACACACACACACACACAAAACACAAATGATCTGGCACTCTGCCCAAAATTTAATGTAAAAAAACAGTATTCAAACCATGGTGCTGCACGGCACTGTATATAATCCAAAGGAAAAAATGAGAGCACTCACACACATACATAAACAGGGCTCGACCAATTCCAGGTGCCAGGCTGCCATGGCGAATAGACATATTGCCCTGGCGCCTGGTTTTTGTCCGCACTTTGCTAAGCTGCGCAGGGAACATGGCTGTGAGGGTGTACTGTGTTCAGGGGGTGTAGAGAGTGGGATAGGGAAGAGCTTTACAATTTTTACTTTAATAATTGTTTTAAAAAAAAAAAAAGAATATTCCCCTTTCCCTGATCTTACCTTGCATAGATTAGTGGTGGTTTAGAAGACTGCCTATCCATCAGATACAGGGGAGGTCACAAGATGAGAGGTATCTCTCTTGGAGCTCAGGTACTTACACAGACTGACCCATACACACACAAAT